TCAATGGGATTTCCATATATGAATCCCAAATTGGAGCTTTATTTTTGAATTCCTTGTAACTGAAGAGAAATTTAATTTTCCATTTTTTCTAGAAATATCAATGTTTGCATGAGAGCAGACTAAGAGACAAGAAAGGGATGGCCGGTTGACGGCATCATTGGCTAATAGAGAGATGGTTATAGAACAATGGATAGAAGTTTTTATTTTAATTTCCTTTTCACTTTCTGTGTTGTCTCTTCCACACTGAGAGCCTTTACATTTTTTAAGTTTCATGGTTTCTTAACAACCACCATGTGCTGTGAGGTCTGCAGCTGAGATGGTGGCAGTGCCCAGAGCGTGATGGATGGTGTAGCCTGATTTCTTGCTACAACCACCCAGTCGTTGGTTTAGGAGGACCTGGTGAAAGTTCCTCTGGTTTTGTAGATGCACTTGGTGCAACTCCTGTGATATTTTCATCTCTGAGGCTTTATTTGAAACTCCACCCCAGAAGACCTCCAAGTGCTTCAAAGGGCCAGTTTGGATTTCTTGTGTTCTGGTTTCTCTTGGTCAATTGTTGATGGATCATGTTTCTTATCTGGAGGGGGAATGTTAATATTACAGCTGGGCCTAGAAGGGAGAAAAGTGGGAAGGGGGTTGAGTGAGAAGCAAATGGAATAGGAAGGTCCATCCTTACAATGAGGAGCAAAGGATGACCAATATCCCAGGCACATTATTTAAATGTTTATTTTATTTTATTTTATTATTTTATTTTATTTTATTTTATTTTATTTTATTTTATTTTATTTTATTTTATTTTATTTTATTTTATTTTATTTTATTTTATTTATTTGTCAAACACATATAAGATTACCGATATAAATGTAGACATGATTATGAATACAGGATAAGGATCAGTGGTGAAATGTAAAATTTATTACTACCGGTTCTTTCGGCCGAAGAGGTTGCAGAAAAAAATGCTTTTAAAAGCCTCTGACAATCAGGCAACTCAGCTGGGATCGTCAGAGGCTTTTAAAAGCATATTTTTTTCAGCTGGGCATGGTGTGGGGGGGCACAAGGATTTTTGCTACCGGATCTCCAAACCACCCGCCACCATCGCTACCAGATCGGGTGATCCGGTCCGAACCGGGAGCATTTCACCCCTGATAAGGATACGAATAAAAGCGAACATTAGGACAGGGACGGTAGGCACGCTGGTGCACTTATGCACACCCCTTACAGACCTCATCATGTCATCCTCACATGATGTATCATGACTTTTTCCCCCTTCACTAAACCAGGGGTGGGCGTGGCCAGCTTGTGACACATCCGGCCCGTGGGCCACGAGTTTGACACCCCTGCTCTAGAGACTGCTAGGAAGGTCAATCAGAGCTATGGAGTTTGATGCCACTTTAGATTGGTGGCACTTAACACTGGTGATGGCTGTGTTCTAACTCCATTGGAACCACTCCGTATCCTTGAACCCAGCCTAATGTTAGGAATAGGGCCTGTTTGGGATTTTCTCTTCAATGAGAGCTCCATGTATTAATCCTAAACTGGAAGTGATTTTAGAATTCCTTGAAACTGAAGTGAAATTTTATTTGCCCCCTGTTCAAAAAATATCAATTTTTGTATGAGAGCTGACAGAGGCAGGAAAGTGATGACTGTTGACCACATCATTGGCAAATTATAAGTGGAGTTATAAATGGAGTCAAGGTTATTATTTTAGTTTTCTGGATATTTTTTGTGTTGTCTTTGCCTACTGACAAAAACACTGAGAGCCTCTAAATATTGAATTTTCTTGGTTTCTTAAATAAACAGCGTGCTGTGAGGTCTGCAACTGAGATTTTGACAGCACCCACATTGCAGTGGATGGTGTGACCTGATTTCTTGCCACAACCATCCTGAAGTTGGTTTAGGGCAGGGGCCAACAACCTGCAGCTCCGGAGCTGCATGCGGCTCTTTGGGCCTTCTCCTGTGGCTCCCTGTAGGTGATCCCACCACTGGCTGACCCTGCCCCTTGCCCTCCCCTCCCAGTCACTCCCTGCCTGACCGGAGAAGGTAAGGGTGATGGCGAGGGATAGAGAAGCGGCCAGGGCAGAGACAGAGAGATACAGGGAGGGGGGCAGAGGGAGGGAGAGAGGGGAGAGAGAGATGTCAAAAGGATTTTGTGGTTCCTGGTGTTTTTTAACAACTGGTTCTCTGCCCTAATGACCGGCTGGGTAGGCATGGCTAGGGGGTTATGTGACTGGTGGAAGTGAGTGACATTGAGTTGGTCATGCCCACCCAGGTTTTTGGCTCCTGGTGTTTTCTTTTCTGTGGGAAGGGGGTCCAAATAGCTCCTTGAGTGTTTAAGGTTGCAGACCCCTGGTTTAGGGGGATGTGGTGGCAGTTCTTCTGGTTATGTAAATGCACTTGGTATGGTAAGACTATTGTGACATTCCTATCTCTGAGGCTTTGTTTATCCTCCCCAGAAGACCTTCAAGTGCTTACAGTTAGGAGTCCCTATGTTCTGGTTTATCTTGATCGATTGTTGATGAATTATTTTTCTTATCTGGAGGGGGATGTTAATATGTACAACTTGGCCCACAAGGGAGAACTGAGGTTTGGGCAAGTCCATCCTTACAAGGAGGAGCATAGAATGACCAACATCCTAGCTCCATTATTCCATTCTCCAGATCCTGTCAGAACCTGCTGGATTTCACCCTTGACATTGATCCCTTCCTTCCCATACCTGTCAATTTTAAACCAATGTTAGTGCTACTATTTATTATTTTAAACTTTTATTTTCTTTTGACTTGAATATAACTTGCCTAGAGTCATCCCTAGCCAAGATGGGCAGTGTGTAAATTAAACAAACAAACATACATACATACATACATACATACATTAAACTATCAAAACCCGTTAATCAAGCCTACTAAATGACATATTTGAAAAATAATAGATTTGTTAAAGTTATTTTTTGTATTTTATTTTGACATCAAATGTTCTTTGGTATTCAGATCTGACCTAAAAATAATAATGTAGAATTTAGGGAAGAATATGCAGCCCAACAGACCAGCACTGGAGGCCAAGATGGAGAAGATCTGAACAGCCACCGTGTACTTTCCTTTGGTGCTCAGGTAGGCAGGCACAAAGGACACCCAGACACTGCAGAAGACCAGCATGCTGAAGGAGATCAGCTTGGCTTCGTTGAAGGCCCCAGGGAGATTCCTGGCCAGAAAAGCCACCGTGAAGCAGACAGCAGACAGGAAGCCCATGTACCCAAGGGCAACATAAAACATGGTGACATAACCTTCATCACATTGTAGGACGATTTCTCTCATTTGGGAGTTCATGTCAGAGTCAGGGAATGGGGGGAAAGTGCTCAACCAGATGCTGCAGATGAGAACTTGGAGACCAGAACAAGAAAAGACAATGGAGTTGGCCAAACTCTTCCCCAACCATCTCTGCACTTTATTCCCTGGTTTTGTGGCCAAGAAGGCTAACACCACTGTGATGGTTTTGGCCAAGATTGAAGAAATGGCAAGTGAGAAGACAATGCTGAAGGCTGTTTGTCTGAAGAGGCAGGTCACCTTCCTTGGCCGGCCAATGAACAGGAAGGAAGTCAAAATGGAAAGCAGGAGGGAGACCAGGAGGATGTAGGAGAGGTCCCGGTTGTTGGCTTTGACAATTGGTGTTTCCATGAATTTAATGAAGATCCCCAAGCCAAAGCCTGTGGTTAAAGAGAGGAACAAGGCAATGGAAGTCAGGATAATCCCCAGATTTTCCTTATAAGAAAGATAACTTTTAATCTTGGGGATACAGTGAACTCGATAGGTGTTTGGATGTTGATCATCTGGACATTTGGTACATTTGTCTGCATCTGAAAAAGAACAAGAGTAGAGTCTCCCTTTAACATGTCATTTAATAAACTGCATTGTTTGGGTAAACTTGTTTTTTGTGTGAATGATTGTGTGTAGGTGAAGTTAATAAATTTCTTCATTTCCCTCCAGCTAGAACATCTTAATTTTCTTTGTTTTTTACTGTTACCATTTTATCAGTGAACTTGTTGAGAGAGAATAAGGGAAGAAGAAAGGTAGTTCCACCATTTTATCTTTTCACTGCTAAATCTCTTTAATCTTTTGATTAAAGGCAAATAGCTACAATGTGAATCTGTGGCTGCCCAAAATAACCATGAGACATGGAAATATGCACAAATCTAATCGATCCTCCTATAGAAATCCAATCAAAGTTCCATCATTATATTCTGTAATCCGGAAACTCTCACTATTCAGAGCAATGAACTAAATAGTAATTTGAAACATGGAAGATGTGTTGTAAAAGATTAAGAGCAAAAGATGTCATCTCTCTCACAACCCTCAACCCTCACTTATCCCATATCTTCATCCATGATCTGTATAACTGTTTGCTTGACCTATATACGAGATTAATCTCCAAGATATTTTCTTATAATTCACTATGACATAAATGTACATCTTGATCAAGACCCAAAGAGGTGGGATCCACTCCCACCACGCCTTCCAAAATGCATGTTCATGGAGAATCTCAGGATTTATGATCCTCCTCAAAGTCTCTCCCTTTCTCCTGCTGTCACCCACCTTCCATGGTGGAGATGGTTCCTTCTGCACAAGGACGACAATTGTAGCAGCAGATGGGCTTCCCTTCCTGAGCCACCTTCATGAATCCAGGAGCACAGCTTTCCACACACCTAGAAGGAGGCTGGGGCTGGCCAGCAAGAGGGGGAAAATAACCTCCATTAAATGAATTATTTTATTTCCTAAAATACATAAAAGGAAAAGTTTGGCGATCTCCAATTCAAGGTTTAGCTTTGCTAAATTTGAAGACTAGAAGAAACTAAGAGCTCCTCAAATTGAGGTGGTTGCTTGCTGTTTGTCTATTTACCTTCTCTTCTAATTTTTCTCCCACTACAATTTTAGATTAAATTCCCAATGTACCTACTGAAAAGAAACTAGAATGGATTTTTGTTTTGACAAAATCAATCACTTTGTCCCATGATATCAATCCAGCTTCCTTGCAGAAGTTTGATGAACAGTTAACTGGAATAGTTAGGGAGATTTTTCTCATAGGCACCTGAACATCTAACGGGAAGATGTTTCCTCTCTGAGAGAACTGAGATGACACCCCAAGTCTGTCCCTGCTCCAATTCTGCAATCGTCTTGGAAAGAGCTTCAGAAAAAAAACAGAATAAAGCCTTTTCCCCACCTTGTTCAGCATCTCCATCTTTGCAATAGCATCCTGGTTCATCATGAACTTGAAATCCAAGGATCCCACTCTTTCTAGCCTCCCAAGTGTCACTGTGGTAGCAGAGTAATTGGGGAAAATCACCGTGTTCCCAATGTCCAGGTCTGCTACCAGCTTTCCATTCTCATCCAAATATACCCCATTGATGGAATTATTGTAAAACTCAGCAGTTCGAAGGAAAGAATGAAACTGGAATGGAAGAGAAAATGGGCAATGTTATATAGACACAGAAAGTTCTTTGGTAAGACTCCTCCATCTCAGCTGGCATGAGGGATCTTGAGAGAAATGGAATTATTCCTGTAAAGAATATAGCCTAAGTGATTCCATATTTACCCTTCATATAACCTGAGTTAACCCGAAGCTATTTAGCTGAGTAAGACACTTAGAAAGGGGAAGTATGTATGACGCCTTTTCTGAGGAAATAATGTGTTAGTACATTCTGAGTTGGGTCAGGCTGACCTAAGCTAAATTAGAAGGAAGGAAGATACCCTGTTCCAATTAATTGTCTTAGTTAAGGACATATTGAAAGGGTATTTTTGGAGGGGAAATGCCCTTCCAAAAGGGAATTCTAAGTTGGTACAAATGTTGCTCAGAAAGCCAAAATGTTATGTAACATCCGAAAAACAATGATAAGTGGGGGCATTTCAATTGTTTTGCTAATTGCCTGAAAATGTATTTAAACCATGTATTCGGAGCTGTAAGACGTTCTCTCTCTTTCATGGGAGAACCCTTTTACAAAAGCTTATAATACACACACACACACACACAAAAAAAAAAACACACACACACACACACACACACATGTATATGTGTATCAAGCTGATGAAGGGAGGAGAACTTGTGGCTCAGAAGGTTAATTCAACTGCCTAACATGCAGGAAGCCCAAGTTCGAATCCAAGTAAGGGTATGGCTAGCTGATGAAAGCTAAAAACCTTGAAATAGATCTATACTAGTCTCTCTTTATATATTTATCAGCAAAATATAAATTTGGTATGTATGTATGTATGGGTATATATATATATATATGTCTTTGTTTATTCAGGTTTTCTCCGGTGTAAAATTGGAAGTGTCTTGGCGACGTTTCGACGAAGCCTCATTCGTCATCTCAGGCTGGTGTCTTCGGCTTCGTGCTTCCAGGAGCAATGTGTGTGATCGCAGCTGTTTCTTCCTTTTAACTGCCAGTGGACATGTGAACTGATTAGGAGCTTGGCTGTGTTCTGATTGGGTGAAGGTGTGTTCTGATTGGTTGGGGGTTTGGCTGTGCTCTGATTGGATGGGGGGTTGGCTGTGCTCTGATTGGATGGGGGTGTGTTCTGTTTATGTGGGGGCTTGGTTGTGCTCGGGTTAGTCTGAGTAGCAGGGGGATTTGAGCTGGTGAGCTGCATTGCTGTTGTTTGGCTTCGTGTTCGTGGTCATGCCACATCTTCATGGTGGGTTTCAGTTTGCTTCATGTATGGATTGGGGGGTTTAAAGTGGCTAATGATGCAGCTGTGGTCTGGCTTCTGGTTTGTGGTCGTGCCTCATCGGTGTGGGTGAAAACCTCAGAAAACATATTTATATATATGTATACACACACACACACACTATGTGTGTGTGTGTGTGTGTGTGTGTGTGTGTAATAAAACTACTTTTTACTTGTTCATGATCTCCATTTTACTTTTTATGAGGTTTGCTGTTTTTTTAAATCTCACAGATCTGTATGAGGAAAATGGAATAAAAATCTTGTTAGAAGGACCAAGAACAACATGGAAAATAAGGAGAGTGAAGGATGTTCTTTATCGCTTCCATTTGTAGTTGTCACTGCGGAGTTTGGAAAACCAATGGGAAGTAACCAAAGCAAAGGATATATGCAGTATGAACTATTGAGGTCCAAAATTAAAACCCTAAAGGATATGGAAGTTGTGCTCAACAACACAGAAGGAATTTTGCCAATAAAGCCAAAATGAAATCAGATGCCCCACACAGAAACAATGTTATAAAAAAACTGGTTTACAGGTCAATCGGCAGCTAGGAAAAGAATTTTTTTTGCTGAGTTTGAGGATGACTGGGACCTTTGCTCTACTAGATATTAATGGACATTAAAAGTAGTAAATCTAGCAGAAATGGTGAAAAATTCAGCATATTTAAAGGACCATTCAAATGAGAAATATATGTTAGAATGGAGAAGATGGATTGATTATATTCAAGGCAAATATCGGACTAAAAAATTTCAAATAACTTACAAATGATCCAGAAGATTTTATTAAGTACTTAAACTTAGTCTAGTAAAAGGGGAGTTAAAAGTTCAAGAGGGGAATAGGATGCTATAGATAATTAGAGTATGCTACCTTGTGATTGTCAAATGTTATACCCTGTATTTTGCTCTGGGAAGCAGGTGGGGGGGGGGAAGGAGGGGAAGGGGAGGGCTGGAAGGGGAGGAGGGAGGGGGTAGGGGAAATGTCTGTAAAACTTTTTAAAACTTTTCAATTAAAAAAAAAAGAAAGAAAATAAGTACCTGCCATGCCTTCATCTTTGGAGTTTTCATGTTTTTGCCAGTTTTAAACATGTTCCTGGATCTGGATAAATAAGCTGCATTTAAGGCCCTTGCCACAGCCCAGACTGTGTTGTAAATTAAATAGCTGTCCCGAGTCAGGATTGGATCCATCTCCTCTTCCTTGAGAGCTTCCAGATCTTCTCTCTGCCTGCACTGTATCCATACTTTCACCGAAAAGGCCTCATTGGTGTAGAAACACAGGAAGGAGGTCTCTACATAGTATCTCATAAAAGAATAAAGGTTTAAAGGCCTACCATACTTTGCAAATTGATTTTTCTGCATAGGAAAGGAAAATATGCTATGGAAGTATTCGACTGGAAAAGATCGTTTTGACAAATAAACAGTGAAGTCCCAACGGATTGTGAATAGGAGGACTTTTCCTCTAGGAGGTTCCATAAGCCTTTGAAATACTAGATTCAGAAGCAAAATTCCTACACTGAATGAACTCAAGTCTGCACCAAAAATAAAGACATTGATCTTTCTCCAACTGAGGAATAAATGCCACTCTATCTTCGCTTCCCGTGAAACTGGGGAAAAGGTTTGTGATAAAACTGGGCAAATGCCATTCCTGACTAGCTGGGAAGTCATCGTCCTCATGAACTGTTGTCCATTCTCAGTGTCTGGAGCAAGGAGACCCACCAAGGTCCACCTGAAATGGAGTACCAGCATCACCATCCCTTGGTAATGGGCTCCTTCAGCTGGGAGCATTGGGTAGAAGAAAGGATTTTCATCACTCATAACCTGGGAGTCAAAACCGTGACTGATCTGAAATTGAAAAAAAAGTTAACTTTATTTTATTTTTTATTTTTTTTGAGAGAGAGAAATCATAAAAACAATATCCAGCCCTAATGGAGGAATTGTTCAACTCCTGATCATTCTGTTTACATTGTCTCTCTTCTCACTTCAATAGGAATAGAAAAACAAAATAGATGACACGACAGTGGTGGGGCTCATTATTAAGAACAATGTCTGCTTATAGAAAGGAAGTACAAGGGATGACATTGTGGTGTAAAGAAAATAATCTTATACTTAACATCAAAAAAACTAAAGAACATAAAATTGACTTCAGAAGGAAGAGAGATGTACATTTACCATTGTACATAAATGGTGAGGAGGTGGTGAGGGTTGGTAGTTTTAAATTTCTGGGCATTTATATCTCAGAGAACCTCTCATGGACAATGTTGACATGATTGTGAAGAAGGAACAGAAGAGGCTGTACTGAGCAGTGATGCACAGTCTGCATTATGATTGCACCTGAGAGAGGATTGTCTGCTGGGGTCCTTCTCCACCATTTGATAGAACCTTCATCCTTACTTCATGCAATTCCCACAATAGAACTTTGCTCTTCATTTAGAAGAGAGGATGTCTGGCTGTAAATTGCATGTCTAAAAATGTCTTCCCAACAAAGACACACCTGTGGGATTTTGTAGGTTCCCAACATGGTTGAAATCTGGATGGAGATGTCAATACCAAAAGCTTCGAGAACAGCCACGGTGTTTCTCTGCCTTCCACAGCTGTAGTTGGGAACATTGGCCTCCCCCTCCGAAAGCAGGTCCAGCAAACCCTCCGAGGTCATTTGTGGTGTGAAATAATTGTCATAGATGTTGTATCCCAGGGTGACATTGAACAAAATGTTGGGATTCTTGTCGATCGCTTGGATTGCGAAAAGGAAGGACAGCATTTTCCAGTACTCTGTTCCTGGTCTCCTGAAAGTATGAATGTATCAGGACATAATCAATGGAAGCAACATTTTATTTAACTGGTAAATTTAACAATTGTATTTTTAATCCACCACAGGCTCAGAGGTTTGGAGTCATTTTAAAATCCCCCCCCCAAATAAATCTCACCTATCGAATAGAACTTCTGGGATACTTTCCATTTTTCTTTTATTTTTGGATACCAAATGCATATTATTTCTGAGTTAGTCTAGTCATTGTTAACCTTCTCTAATTCTTTTTTAAATTTATATTTCACAATTTTTAGCCTTTCTAATTCTTGGCATTGTTGTGTTAATTTGATATAAAATTTCTGAGATTTCTCACACGTCTACCCTGCATGATAAAATCTTTCCCCATTCTTTTCACAATTCTTGCTTTGCTTTGAAATGTATTTACACATCTTTGATGATTTATCTGATGTCCTATACCAAGAATACATCATTTTATTTCAAAAACAAAACAAAACAAAACAAAAAACTTAACTTATGACAGAATATAAACCGAACGCCAGTTACCCAAATTATCTGCATCTCTATTTAATATCCAAGTTTAATAGTGCATTTAGTCATGCAAATTGAGCCTCTTCATCTTTTGTTTCAAATCCTTAATACATGTTTGTTATTACATTTTCACCATGTGTACATAATTCAGTTTCAAATTCAGTTTTGGCTTATTCTTCATATTGTCCTTATTCTTGCTGTTGTATTGAGATTTCTGACTGACTTTCAATTTCTTTCTATCCGTTTGCCTATTTATCTTCTCCAATGATTAATCATTGGAAGTGTCACCTATTATTCCACATGAAATATAGAATCATTGAAGGACACATACAGACAGATACACCCACAATGACACATAAAACGAGCAACTATCACTATTAACAAGTGCAGTAAGTGGTAAATTTCTGGAGGTGTTTAAATGGCCTATATCTAAACTTAGCTTAGCCATAGAGACTTAGCTGACAAATAACTCATTGTATGATTGGGATGGTGGCATCCACTCAAATGAGATTCACACATTTAAGAAAAGTCCATTCTGAACTGGGATCCATTCATTTAATTGGTGGTACAGAATAGAATTGTCAAGCTTTAATCATTTTTACTTCAGAGAAAATTCAACATTTCTACATTTTTATACCCATCCTGATGACCTTATTGGGCATGAGAGTGGTAGAAGAGACTCAACTCTTCTAAGAGAATGTCAAGAAAAGCAAATGCTTCTTCTTCGAAGTCAAGAAAGAAGAAGATCTCAAGTGATTATTTATTTGAGAATTTCAAATCAGGATCATCAGCTGTAAAGAATGAGCCAAGAATGAAATGAGACAGAAAGAGAGAAAAACTAGCAGATCAAAGAGATGATTCATTGTAAGAGAGGCAGCTGAAACTTTAGAATTTAGGGTTGAATGGAGAGGCTCTAATTCTGTACATAAAATTTGACGTACAGAGAAATTTGAGTCAAAGGAGATTTGTTGAAGCTTAATGGTAGAAATTCCATCCTCGTTGCAGAGACAATGCCACCAATGAGAAACTCTCCTGGCTTGTAATAGTTCTCTGGATGCACCTCGTCCCTCTTCAGAGTCAGGAGACATTTGGCTCTGAGACTTGCCAGAACTTCATGGGGCAGCAGAAGCAGGAGAAGCAGCAACATGACTTTTGTTCCTGATGGAATCTCCAGCCTTGCTTTGAAGACACAGTGATAGGAAGAGGTGGAAGAAACCAAAGTCCTCTTCCAAGGCAGAAGCTCCAAAGATTTCCTAATAGTGACAGAGTCTATACAAGCCTTCATATCTGCAGCCCCTGCCTGTCATAAAAACTTTTAAGGTTCTCTATTTCTTCAGGGCCATTTATGCCTCCAAGATTTTCCAGAGCAAAGAGATCAGCCAACAAGGTGTTGATATGATGTCAAAGTGGAAGCCTGTTATGGCTGTTTTTGTGTGATATCTGAAAGCAATCCAAAATGTCTTTTGAGATTTAGCACCAAGATAATAAGTAAATCACTATGATTTGGATAATGGAAACAAGAATAGACATCATCTTTCTAAACTCTGAGTGAGTCAACAAGCAGGTGCCCAATGGAAAAAGTCACAAATGGGGTGAAAACTCTGAAAACGAGATGAGAAGTGAGACAGAAGAACTTTCTCCCAAACATCTCATTCCTACCATTGCATCATTATTAAAGCATTACAGCATTACAGCATCATGGCAGCTGCGCAGCTCTTAAAGTATTTCCGTGACAAATCCCTTAGAAAAGCTCTCCATACATTCCAGTCTCAAGAGAGAATTTTAGCATGAGTGTAAAATGTTAATCCTCAATATGGATACAGCTGATTCTGGTTTGCCTTTGTTAAGAGATGGGTGGCTGTTTTTGTTCATATAACTACGTCTTCTCTCTTACACAGTTCCAGACCAGAACAAAATCCCTGAAAATCACTTTTATCCATTATAATCATCAAAAGTTTGACTTTGGGTTCGACTGTTGAGACATTTCAATTTTTAAAAAAGAGTAGACATTTTCTTCATTGAAAAAAAGCCATTATTGGTTTGTAAAGGTGGAACTAAATAACTGAATAAAGCGGATGTTTGTCGGGGACCACTGTGTAAAGAGAGAGGGAAAATACAGCAAAATATCTACATGTTTAGAGATAGATCAATAAATAGGTAGAATTAGGATAGCATAACATTTCTAGATGTAAAACCTATGAAACCTGTTGAACTGATCTAGGCAAGTAAATCTAATGAAATCCACCATCTTTAAAACTTTTATTTATTTATTTATTTATTATTTATTTATTAATCAAAGTTCTATACTGCCCTACTCCCGAAGGACTCAGGGCAGTGAACAGCCAAGATAAAATACAGATAATACAAATATTAAAAAATCCCTTAAAATTATTAAATATTTCGGCCGAAACACAGATTAAAACACCCAATTTGTAAAATCACGAATTAAAAAATTTAAAAATTTAAAAGATGGGAGTTAGGCCAGTCCAGCTTGCTGAAATAGAAAAGTTTTGAGAGCACGGCAAAACGTGCGCAGGTCCGGGATCTTCCGTATCTCTGGGGGGAGCTCGTTCCAGATGGTAGGTGCCCCCACAGAGAAGGCTCTCCCCCTGGGGGCCGCCAGGAGACACTGTTTGGCCGACGGCACCCTGAGGAGCCCCTCTCTATGGGAGCGTACTGGTCGGTGAGAGGCTATTGGTAGCAGAAGGCGGTCTCGTAGATACCCCGGTCCGATGCCATGGAGCGCTCTAAAGGTGGTAACCAAAACCTTGAAGCGCACCCGGAAGACCACCGGGAGCCAGTGCAGCTCGCGCAGGAGGGGGGTCACATGGGAGCGCCACGTCGCTCCCATAACCACCCGCGCGGCTGCATTCTGGACCAGCTGGAGCCTCCAGGTGCTCCTCAAGGGGAGCCCCATGTAGAGAGCATTGCAGTAGTCCAGGCGGGAAGTAACGAGAGCATGAGTGACCGTATTTAACGAGTCCCGATCCAGAAAGGGACGCAACTGGCGAATCAGGTGGACCTGATAAAAACTCCCCCTGGCCACGGCCGTCATGTGCTCTTCTAAAGACAGCCGTGTGTCCAGGAGGACACCCAGGTTGCGAACCCTCTCCGTGGGGGCCAGTGACTCGCCCCCAATAGTCAGTGATGGCACCAACTGACTATATCGGGATGTCGGAAACCACAGCCACTCGGTCTTGGATGGGTTGAGCCTGAGTCTGTTTCTCCCCATCCAAATCCGCACGGCCTCCAGGCACCGGGACATCACTTCAAGGGCATCATTGGGGTGGTCCGGGGTGGAGATGTACAGCTGAGTATCATCAGCATACTGGTGGTACTTCACCCCGAAACCACGGATGATCTCACCCAGCGGCTTCACATAAATGTTGAACAGAAGGGGCGAGAGGTCCGACCCTTGTGGCACCCCACATACAAGGGGCCTCAGGGTCGACCTCTGCCCCCCTGTCAACATAGACTGCGACCGGTCAGAGAGAAAGGAGGAGAACCACCGTAGAACGGTGCCCCCCACCCCTAACTCCTCTAGCCGGTGCAGCATGATACCATGGTCGATGGTATCAAAAGCTGCTGAGAGGTCTAATAGGACCAGGACAGAGGAACAACCCCTGTCCCGAGCCCTCCAGAGATCATCAACCAACGTGACCAATTCCGTTTCCGTGCTGTACCCAGGCCTGAAGCCCGACTGGAACGGATCCAGATACGACGATTCATCCAGGTACTATAATTTGTTTGATATTCTATAGTCCTTTTGTCAAACCTGAAGCAGACCTGACCGAGGGCATTTTTGAGGCTTTAAAGTTGCCACCTAAATGTGTGTGAAGAATTCATCAGAAAGTGGAAATGTGTTAAGTGAATAACTTTTTGGCATTCAACATGGCCCAGGGTAGGGAAAGCAAAGGGACATTCTTAGCATCCCCTCTATGAAACCATATCATCCTGTTGGACCAGAAAGCAGCCCTTCCCTCTGGCATCTCCTGCCTTGTAGAAGAGCCTCCCTGGAGATCTAGATGGCCCCAACTACCTCAAGATTAGGTCTATTGCTGTTATTGGTGTTGATGTATCTTTAGTGATTGATTGATTAATCGATTGATTCCTGGCATGAACTGGTACCAAACTGCTTTGCACTCCTTCAACTGTTATTCTCCCCTCCCAAATTCCCACCATTGAAGCATACAGGTTTATTGCCCATCTGTCCCCCTCCCTCCCCCCATCCTTTGATTACAGGATTGCAGTGAAACAATTGCTTCATTGGAGAATGTGACTGATGACACACCTTGGGGGGAGGGGGAAACAGGGTCAGAGCTGGGACAAAAATTAAGTGAGGTCAGAGTTGGCGTCACTTAGAATATGCCGCCTTGAAGCTCCTAATAAATAACTGGATTCCTTTTGAAGTTTGGCTCGAGGTCCATGATTTAATTAAGGCATCGGTGGGAACCCTGACACTAGGTCACAAAGTTCTTGTGTGTACTCAGCCACTCCCCTCTGACCCACTCCGAGTGTGATCATCCACTGCGCTGCAGCCCCTTCTAGGTCCCTGGTGAGACATCTGACCTTAGCACCTTCAGTGGTTATCTCCAGACAATACTCCTGCATGTAGGTCCAAACCTGGGCCAGGAAGAACCCC